GTATTTATAAATATCAAGGCATTCCCACTACCTTTGTGATGATGGTATTCCCTATGTTTGGGTTTGAAGCTTGTCCAAAACTCGAGAGCTTCTCTGGAAATTTCAGTCCATTTCTTGAAAAACAGACCAAATAGGACTATAGTTCCCCAAAGATTAGCTCTCAGAGTATCATTTTGGTCTATAACTGATGACAGTTACTAAATACCCGGAGCAGAAGGAAACGAGCATTGGAGAGAAATAAAACAGCTCCAGAACCACAGATGTGGGTGAAGCACATGAAGTCTAAACAGATTATCTAGTTCCCAACGGGCCTGGCCCAGGGAAACTACCGATACAGTTTTCCCTTATTTTGACTACCTGGGAGCTTGGGTTCCTGTGAGAAGGAGGGGCTGTTTTCTTTAACCTCAGGCCTTAGCTATTTATGAGTAACCAAAGGACACCTAGACTGAAAGATGACAATCTAGCTCTGTAACACTGAGCAGCTGCCAGGGAACAGCTGCCAGGGAACATTTGTCCTTTGAAATCCATTGAATGCTCTTGATTGCTCTAACTAAAATATTACTTTTGGCAGCGTTAGTTTTCAGTAAATGAAGTGATCACACAAAAAGGAAGAGGCTAAAGGTGAACAAAAAATACATAAAATTTTAACCTGAAAATAGAAACCCTATCACTTTCCTTTCCCAACAAGGTATGGACTTTGAGAACAAAAACTATTTAGCGTTATATAGTTTACCACCTATTGTAATATGATCTCACTATTTTATTTCTGTAGGCTACATCTGGTATTCTAGGAGACTCTTGTCTAGAAAAATAATTTCATTGTCCTCTATAGAAATTTCCTGAAAGATGCATCAGCTCTTCCATAGAAAGAATTAACAAAATAGTATCTATCCTTACTTCCTGTGACTCAAAATATTTACCTTGCTGTGTCCACCATAATAATGAATCAAAATCAAGTCTCTAAAAGAACAGTCTTCAAATTTTCATACAATACACAAAGAAAATCTATATATTTATATATTTTACAAAATATAATGGACACTAACAGGTAGATAGTTAAGAATATGGGTGAGAAATTACAAAAGTACAGCTATAATATACAACAGAGAAATGATACACAATATTATTGGTTTGCACATAATGGAAATATAAGAATATATACATTTGTGTATATATCTATAAAGTCTAATAGAAACAAGCTTATTTAGGCAGCTCTCCTGCCCACCTATGACTACACAGGTGCCTCTTTTTCTCATTTTCCTAATAAACTTGTCCTTTATTTTATTTTAAGATTTATTTATTTATACAAGCACTGGGTACAGAAGTGTGGGAGGGTGAGAGAATTCACCAGAGCCAGAGTGGGGAACAGAACAGACAGACCAATGAAACACACTGCTGAGGAGAGCAGTGGGCGCAGCAGGAAAGGTCTGTGCGCCATGTGGGACCCTGGCCCAGCGGCCAGGGATCGAACCGGCACTGCAGAGGCTGTGGGCAGCTTCACAACCCAGCGCTCAACCGCTGCACCACCAGGGGAGGCATAATGTTGGTGCTGTGGAGGCTGCAGACAGCTTCACACTGCTTTACTCAACCTTCTGCACCACCAGGGAGGCCCTTTACTGAAACTTTTAAATACAATTTGATAGTTTATGACCTATCTTTTGAAGGAAGGTGATAAAGTGTTTAGGGGTATACAAAACACACGAGATAAATAACCCACAGTATTTGAGTCCCAAAATTACTTCCCTCATGAAGTAAATTATACTTAACAACTGACCTTAAATTAAAATTGCTGGAGACATATTTTTTATATACCGTGGTGACAAAGTGCAACACCCATTCATGATAAAAGCCCTTGAAATTCTTGGGATACAAAGAACATACGTCAACATCATAAAGGCCATCTATGACAAGCCAACAGCCAGTATCATTCTCAATGGTGAAAAACTGAAAGCATTTCCATTAAGATCTGGAACAAGACAAGGATGTCCACTCTCACCACTGCTTTTCAATATAATACTGGAAGTCCTAGCCAGAGCCATAAGACAAGAGAAAGACAAAGAATCCAAATAGGAAAAGAAGAAGTCAAACTATCACTATTTGCAGATGATATGATAATATACATAGAGAACCCCAAAAACTCCACAGAAAAACTAATTCAACTAAAGATTTCTTTAATGAGTCTTCAAACCTGAACACTTATCACTCAACTCCCTTCCCTAAGGTGGATGTTTGTTATATTTTATGTCATATTACACATTTTGTAGTGTGTGTTTTCTTTCGACACACACAATGTTTTGAATTTATGGCTAATGGTTTTGCAAAAATTTTTATTTTGTAATAATTATTATTTCTTGAATACTTGAGAAATAATTATTAAATCTTCAATACTCCTAACTTTACCTGACTAATCGAATGCTTTGACTCCTTTACATGGCTATCCCCATGGGCTAGAAAGTGGCTAAAGAAACATGTCAGCACACTACATCTTGAAATCGGAAGTTCTTTTTAAAAACAATTATGAACTTCTGATTCAAACCTAATACTAATAGTTCTTGCTCGATTATTAAAATATGACTTTTAGCCCCTAATGCAAAATGTCTCTCTCAAAACATGGGAGAAAAATGATTCTTAGTATTTTGTTTTCTACCACATTAAATAAATGCAGTGTTTACACTATTACAATGCTACAACTGATGTTCTCACTCTAGCCTTGCTGTCTGAAACCAAGTATTACATTGTCATCACCTGCTCTCCCAAATATCACCTTGGTTGCAATAAACTGATTGAGAGGTAAGTGATGATCTTAGAGACATAGCGATATAGGTGTCAGTTGTCAGGCTACTAATGAAACAAATTTCTTAGGGTCAGATGAATATATATATATATATCAGAAGTATATATATATATATAATATATATATATATAAAAAGACTTTTCAGTTACCACTCCCATCCCCCCTCCCCAACTCAACTACTTCCAGATACTATTCCATGTTTAGACAACTTAACATGATAAATAAAATAGTCTGGTGGGAAATAATTATTTTTTGTTTGCATTTGTTTCTAATAAGCAGGCATTATCCTGAAATAGAATGATTCCTTCCCTCTCTTCCATCACTCCTTTATATGATCAATCAGAACACAGGAAAATTAGTGGAGGACAGCTTGGGGTCAATAACACTAACTAGAGCTCAGGCTAGTGTTATAAGGAGAATAATTAGGGAAGTACTTGGGTAAGAGAACCCAAGATATTGTTTCCTTGGTACCAATCTGACTCATTTTATTCTGTAACATCACTCATAGTTCTTAAAAAATTTAATTTCTTACTTCCATATGACGACAATTTCCCCTTTTAAAGCACTTAGCCCTTTTTTCTTAATACTGACAATGTTATCTCCCAAAACCTTTTCATTAAGCATTATATTCATCTAAAAACCAAAAAAGGCTACTGTGTACCAGCACACAGCCTTCATAAGATGCTCATCTTTGAGGTCAAGGAGCCCTGCTCAACAGCCAAGCTACAGGCGATCGGTGCTCATAACTGGCAACAACAAATGGATTTTAGCCAAGTTCATGCTCCTGTTTTCTCATGCAGTAGTTTAATTCCTTTGTTCTCAAACCCTAGTCGTAAAACTTATAGACTTTGCCCCAGCACCTGATGAGTCTCTGATACCCAGAGAGCTCTCCCTATAGTTCTCTTTACTTGCTATTTTGCTAACCAATAAACCTTAATGTTCTGCCTGCCCTCAGGGATGTCTGAGTCCTCTATTTCAGTGCTAACCAGAGGGTATCAAGACCCCTTTCCTGGGCTTGGGAACAGGGTCCCTCAGTCCACTCCTCTGATTTCCCATGGGCTGAGTAGCAGACAGTGGCTGGTTTGCTCATCTGTGTTGTTGGAGCTTGGATTAGGTTAAGGGGCATGGAGCCCACTCCCTTGTCCAGTGACTACCTCAATAATAAAAAATAGTGGAGAAAAGTTAGTTGTGTCCTCAGTTCACCTGAGTCCTATCACCACTTACTTGGATACCAGGAAAGCACTCAACTCTTCAATAAGTTTCCATGTACTAGTCACAAAGCACCCAAATAATTCCTGCATGATTTTTGATGAACAATTGGTGAAAATTTTCCAGGAATAATAAAATTTGTTTTGAAGTATCATTTGTAAAAATGCTCTGTTGATATCATTTTGGTATTGACTATAGTATAACTGCCTAATTAAAACTATCTAAGTAAATTAACCATACCAAATGCCTAGAACACAGTAAATCTGAGGCGAGTAGGTATGAAACATGTTGATATAGCCAATAAAATTAATATGCACAAGGAAGGAAACAACACTCGATGAGCCTTAAATCAAGTAATCATTTGAAAGGGTTTTTAATTTTGGTAAGGTTTGTATTTCATGGTTAATTTAGCTTAATATATTATTTTAAGCCAGGCTCATTTTCATACTTGCATGCCCCTGCTTGAAACAACATTTATGAGTCAGACCATGGTAATAAAAAAATAATAAAGCCCACGATTTCCCTTTATAATCCGCAAATTAGCAAAGATGCTCATAAACCCCACCGTACAGTACAGTATTTCAGAAAGCAATAGAGATGTACCTGTCAGTTCAGACTCAGTCAGTAATGAAAAAGGCTGCTAAGGCAATGCTGTCATCAGGGATTTGAAAAATCCAAAGGGCTACATCAAATACTGCACTGATGGAAGGATAACAAGCATAGGATAGGGGAGCAAAGCAATCAGGCATTCAGTACAAGGAAGCTTTAACAGTATGTTATACAGACAATCTTCAGAAGGGACTAAAGCATGTCAGAGGACCACTAGCTTCCAATGCACATATAAGGAGTTTGAATGTCACTATTCCGTCCAAACATGTAAAAAACTGAACGACTGAAAAAATCAAACCTTCTGATCTCCCCAAAGAGATGGCAGACATAAGGCAAACAGCTACCCCTCAGACTAAGCTGACAAGTGAATACGGGGGTCATTCCTTACCTTACTGAAGAATGAAGAGTAGAAACTTCCTCAGGAAGCAATGCCACGGTAGGAAAACAGGATCTGTAGTTGAAAAATTGTCACTAACTCGGCATGGGCAACTCTGTGAGATTAAAACTCCAGGCAGACCCAATCTTCGAAGCGTCTCCTGGAGGAGCTTGACCAGGTTCTGGCAATAAATACTGGAGGGAAAATCCCATGTGATTCTGCCTAGGGAGGGGGAGGGGAAACAGCATTTTTCAATACATTAGAGCACTCTTTTAAAACCAAAACCTTCCCTGAGGAGGAACTAGTTAATCAGAACCTAACAGGCTGAGGCTTATCAGAACCTAATTGCCCTGGGGGAAGGGAAATACCAAACTTCTGCCCACTCTAGCCAAGTACTTCCACCTAGGGGAGGAGTAAAAACAAAACAAAAACAACTGAAAATCACTTGTGAAGTTCACAGAACAGAGATAAATCTCACTAAAAAATTGTGACCTAATCACTGGGTTGTAGAACACTTTTCTTCCTCTCACACCTCACATTTCTGAAGGACTATTTATGTCTAGTACATTATAGCTGCCTATCAAGAAAATAATTCCAATGTAAACCAAAGGACAATAACACAACTTGAAAAGACAAAAAAAAAAAGTATCAGAACCAGACATGGTGAGGATGTTGGAATTGTTAGATAGGGAATTTAAAACTGAGACAGGGCAAGCTAGGGTTATTAGGCAGTTTTAGGGACAGTGCAGGAGGGGACCTCTGAAGAATTTAGGGAGGCTTCAGAGATAAGGACAACCAAAGAAATATAACCAATTCCATTGGGAAAAACAAACATGCCAGGACCAAGGACAACATTGTTAATGCTGGTCCTGGTTTCCTTCAGGTGGTAAAGGGAGGCGGAGATTGGAGAAATGGAGAGTGGTTTAATTTATGGTCACATTAGAAGGGCAGCTGTTTAACTTCAATGCAGGGATGCCCATCCAGAGGACTGGGCCATAAAGATAAAGATACAACAAATGGGGAAAGACAGACCTACTAGATAAGGAATGTGAAGATCCCTACTCAGTAGCAAATTCAGTGAGACAGCCGAAAACTGACCAATCACAGAGAGACTGGTAAAGTTTTAGAATAATGAGGGAAAAAAGGTATATATTCCCTGAAACACAATTCCACTTTGGCTTCCTTGCCCCTCCCAGGCCTGGTTCCCTGGCCTGGGAGTCCCACTTTATTTCTGTTCTTTTTCTCCTCAATAAACTTTTTCTTTCTATAAACGAACCTGCCTCTTCTCGCTTGCTTGCCTGAGCGTCTGCGAAGTTCCTGCTGCGGCTTCGTGAGACACCAACCCTGGGGGGTCTAGTGGCTGGGGCTCAGCGCTGCCCTGCAGCCTGAAATCCGATCCCGGCTGGGAGACTAGGCCTGACAATTCCGGTATCAAAACCATCATAGTTAATATGCTAAGGGCTCTCTCTGTAGGGTAAATGAAGATTGCTCAGGCTTTTGTGCTGTTGGCCTCTGGCTATCACCTGCGGCCTCAAAAGCAAGAGGCGCTTTGGAACATGGGCTTGGGGTACACATGCCTGATGGTGGGCACGCCTGAGACTGCAGACTGAGCATATGAGCGTAGCAGAGGACAGAGGAAGTACAGCAGAGGACCATGTGGCAGAGAGTGGCAGAGAGTGGCGGAGAGGCCATGAAAGAACAGTAGAGAAACCCAGAAATAGTGAAATAGTGAAGATGAGCCTTCTGGTCCCCCCAAGTCCCCCCTCACCTGCCCATTGGTTGCCTCACTACAAATAGGTCCTGAAAAAACTGCTGAGGGATGTGGACTCTCATCCTGCTCTGCCTGCTGCCTGCTTCCACTACAGGCTCTTATGTATCAAATAAAGAGCGTGAAGGAACAGATGAACAATAAATTCAAAAGGAAGAAAAATTTAAAAAAATGAAAATATACTAGAGGTAAAAACATTAACAGAAATGAAAATTGACTAGTCTATTAGTAGACTAGGCACAGCTGAGGAAAAACATGTTTATTTTTATTTATTCAGAGTAGTTTAAGGTTTGTAACAAAATTGAGAGAACATTATAATATGCACTTCTATTTTAGAGTAAATAGCACAAACTAAATTTTATGAACAAATAATGGAAATTTTGTTTTTAACCTCATGCTGTTTTAAATGTCACTTTCAAATACAATGCTCTATCTAAAAGGTCTATCTTTACAGACAATTATATTCTGGTAACTGTATTACAATATTGACAATATGTTCAATGAAATATCTTCTCTGGTTTATTTTATTATCTCATGCATTAACAATGATTCCCTCTTTTTTTTGTAATAACTTGTATATAGAACAGTCATTTATCATAAGCATCAAGTCAATCACTCAAAACAAACTAATTATGAATCCACTGTTGTATGCTTATATAGCATTTAGGCTAAATCAATTAATAAGACTGCTATAGTAAATATTAATAAACTACTACTTTCCTTTATTCCCTGTAGGGTAAGGAAAAATGTCAGGCTTTTCTGCCCTCCTGCCATCAGGATAGATGATGGATCTTTGCGGTCCTGAATGCATGCCTGATGGTGGGCACCTGGAATAGGGTGTGGGCATAGGTAGATGGGATTCACCTGGCTGAGACTGGACTTTTAAGGGCGGCGTCACGGGGACGCCAGAAGCAGCAGAAGCCGAGAGAGAAGCAAAGAAGCAGAAGCAGAGAACACCAGAGAGCCCAGAGAGAGTGCGGATTTGCTGGGGGTTGGGAGGACTGCCAGCCTCCTGGCTCCCCAGCACTCCTGCCTGCCATGTACCCACTAAATCCCAATAAAAGACCTGGAAAAAACCCTTGAGAGCTCTGACTCCTCCTTTACCCAGTCTGCATGGGATCAGAAACCCTGCACTGTGCCCGTTTCTGACTTTGCATTCCCTCTTTGAGTAAGATTAAAGGTCATTAATAGCAGCCAGAAACAGAGAAAGTAATCAATTTTCCTAGTTGCCACTATCTCCCAGCACTAACTGAAGAAAATCGTCAAGTAAATAGACTGCAAGTAAGAAAAGGAAAGGCAAAAGGAGTTCATAAATGTTTAGTTCATCTACCCTAATTATAACCACATCATCAACATCAACCACAATAAAAATTATCTGACAGGTGTCTTTGCCAAGTTACTGTTTTACAGGAAAGTTATATTTATTTTTTTGCTAACAGAGACATATAAGGTACCATAGCCCTAGAAGTGGAAAGTGTGATACTGAAGTATAAGCAGGTTGGTTTCTTCTAAAGCCTCCCTCTCTGACTTGGAGATGATCAGTTTCCTTTGGTATATTCACAAGGGTCTGGGGGAGTGGGGGTGGTATGTGAGTATGTTTTCTAAACTCTTTTTATAAGGATGTTGGTCATATTGGATTAGGTGCCACTCATATGACCTTATTTCACCTTATTTCCTCTAAATTCCCCATGTCAATTATAATCATATTTGGGGGTACTAAGATTAGGAATTCAACATACAAATTGTGCAGGGCCACAAATTCAGTCCATAACACCACTTAAACCTTTCTTCCTACGGATTATTACAGTCTTATACTCAAGCCTCTCCCAAACTCCTAATCTTCCCTAAAAGACTGATTTAACTAATTATGTGATGTTCTGCACTTGCTTTCTCTCTTTTTATTTTTATTTTTTAATTTTCCAAGGAAAGGGCTTCTGTATCTCAGGCAACTTGGAGTGTTTATATCCTGCATTAATTTATTCTAATTGTGATCTTGTTATACCTCACATTTGCAGTTACAAGAAATAATTCTTGTCTTTTGCCTTCTTTTTACATTTGTTCTCTTAAGCCATAATCCTATTTACAATAACATAACATGAAGAGTATTCCTAAGGCTGGGCCTCCAGTGGTGGTGCAGGCCATTGAGCGCCGCACTGTGAAGCTCTCCAGCCGGAGAGGGTCCCACATGGCGCTGAAGACCTCTCCTGCCTCGCCCACTGCTCCCCTCAGCAGTGTATTTCGTCAGTCTGCCTGTTCTGTTCCCTGCTCTGGCTCTGGTGGATCCTCTCACCCTCCCGTGCATCTGGCCTGTACCCCAGTTCTTATATAAATAAATAAATAGATAAATAAATAAATAATTTTTTTTTTTTTTTTTAAAGAGTATTCCTAAGGAAAACAACACAGTTGTTTCTGGACAATTCCTTCAAATAATTTTTGTGAATTTACCTTTGCCATGTGTATATTGTCCCTCTTTAATACTATTTAAGAAATAACATCTGAATAACTTTTGGGGTTTATGGTCAGGTATTCTGGAGACAAGGGTAACTATCTTTTCAATTGAAAGGGCATTAGAGAGGCTAAGGTAGAATTAGAGAATAAGGTAATCACATGTGGTAAAGACTGGGAAGTAAAAACAACACAGCAGTTATTCAATATGGTTAATTAAAATTCATTTCATGTTTATGGGGCTCAAGAACTACGCCAATCCCAGTTCCTTAAGGAATCTGCAGGGTTTTTTCATTCTGAAGATAAGAAGAATTATTCAGGAAAAAGTCAGGTCATCAGTAAAACACAAAAAACAACCTACTTGGTTAATGATGGAAGTTTCTCAATCTTGAGAGTCTTCTATCAAAAGAAGCCAATAGAGTTGAGTGAACAAGGAACAAATGTTTGCCATTTTAGAAAGACTGGTGTTTTTTCAAGAAGGTAGAATTACAGAATAGAGAGGTTGTTTTACTAGAGATGGTCAAAAATAAAGAAGGTAACATTGTAAGAATTAGTTCTACAGGGCCTCCCCTGGTGGTGCAGCGGTTGAGTGCTGGGCTGCCCACAGCCTCTGCAGTGCCGGTTCATTCCAGGCCGCAGGTGAGGGTCCCACCAAAAAAAAAAAAAAAAAAAATTAGTTCTGCATATTCCTGACTAAACACAACAGTGCCTGACATCAACCACAAGGGGCAATACTCAGGTATTACATATAACTCATGTTCCTATTATATCTTCAGAGTTGCCATTTCACACATCTGATTTCAAAAGTCAAAGACCATGTTTTCCAATAACTTCATTGTAAACTCTAAAAGTCAAGTAAAATATAATAGACTTAGTGGAAATACTGAAATAGTGAAGTCCTTTTCTAAAATGACATTTCTTTTAAAATGAGGATTCATTTCAATTAGAATGCAGAAGTTTTATTTGATGACTAGTAGTACCATAAATATTTCAAAAACGTATTAGCATA